ACAATTTCAACACAATGTTTGAACATGAACTTGTTTGCAAATAGGAATAAGTCCGTTTTTGTTGTAAAATCCTGCACTCGGCTCCACTTTTCTCATGTTGGACATTTTTCTGATGAGGGTGTCACGGTCAACAGTCAAAACGATCGTCCTTTAAGAGCGTTTGGAAAGAGACAAGTCTTCATTTGTGCTGCTCTGGTGGGAGGGGCCACGTACAGAGACGCTGGAGACGCTGCTGTGATAAACACCACAGAAAATGAACAATAGTTTATTTGAAAATATAATTCAAATATTTTAGTAGAAAATCAGCTCACAGCCAGATTAAAAGTCTTGGAGGGCCGGATCTGGCCCCCGGGCCGTATGTTTGACCCCCCTGATCTAGTGTATTCAGATTCCTGACCTAGTCACTGGAGAGAAATGAAATTGAGTGGAGTCACTAGGTGGAACCAGCCTGACTAGAATATTATAACTAAAGGAAGATTTTCATAGAAACAAGCTCCAGGTCAAGTAAGCGTCAGGTTTGTGGAGATGCAAACTCACTCAGTATGGACACATGTTTTACTTTTTTCAGTGCAATAAAAATATATACATAAAAAATAAATAAGTTTTTAGAAACACTTTTTAAATTAACTTATTAAGTAAATTGTTCTTCTCTGATTCGTTTTTACACAGTACATTATTAATCCCACTTGTGTATTTGTCCATTTGGTTCATTCATGTTTCTTGCACCTCTCCTTCACATATAGTATCTTTTTTCTCTTTTTTGTGGTTTATCTGTTGTGAATATTGACTTAAACATATTATCTTACCTGTCATTAAACAATTAAGACATTAAAGCAACATTTTGATCAGTTTTGACCTCAGATGCCCTGTCCTTGTGCTCATCAGTGCTCTGTGGAAACACTGGAGATGAGGTTGGAAATAACAAAGTGAAATTATACATTACGTGTCTGGTTTACATCTCGTTACACAAAAGAGTGGAGAGGAAAACCACAAACACAAACAGCATCACAAAACAGAAGGTTTGTGCGCGGCCGGAGGCTCTGCAGGTGCTCCTGAAAACAAGACAAAAGTCAACAGCTCCTCCACGGATCAGCGCTCCAGAGCGAACGCCTCTGAAAAGACCTTTAAATAAACAATGGATTTATACAGCGCGTTTACAATACACAGAGCACTTTATTTTCACTGTGCACTCAGTGAGGGTAAACTATTATTGTAGTCAGAGCTGCCCTGGGACAAACTGACAGAAGAAAGGCTGCCAGTCTGCACCAGCCAGGAACAAACCACATCCAGACGAGAAGGTTTGACCACGAGCAAGAAGACACGGATCAGTACATGACAAAAGTATTCATCTGTAACTTCTTGGCTTCTGTTTTATAAAGACAATACAGTAAAATACCAACCCAAGAAGTTACATAAGACAAAATGAACATCTTTGGCTTAAAAGTATCATCAAGGTTACTTCAGTTATTTGAGCAACTTTGAATTACATTTGTACTTCATCAGACTTCATACTTTTACTGCTACTTGAGTACAGGTTTTGGTTTCTCGTCCCACTGTGAGTAATTCTACAAGTGATCAAAGCTTCACATCAGAAGTGTCAAACTCAAATTCACAGAGGCCAAAATTAAAAACTGGGACTAAGTCGTGGGTCAAACTAAATATTTCATGAGCTAGGACCACGTCAACAAGGACATAGTGTGAAGAAGTGTATTGATAATGTAGGAAGCGAGGCAGAGATGGCTGGTTGAGACTATAGGTGGGGGCTCCGTCTCAGTCTTCAGTTGGCCCAGACGGAAGGGGACCCCCCTGTAGGAGTCTTATGACTGAAAGACAGAAGAGGGGGTGGGGGGTGGGGTCGAGTTAACAGAGACAAACTGGGTTGATGAGAAAGGCTGCTACATAAAGACTTCTGGGAAATTGGAGGTGTGGTGGAGGTGAGTTGTGGTTCTCTGGTGAGAGGAGAGAGCGGCTGAGGCCTGGTCCTGCTCCTGAATCTCACTTCATCATATTAAATACATTTATTGAAAAAAATCAGCAGTATCTGCATGTTTTCTCTTCTTTTGAGATCTGTAATGTTAAACATTTTCTTCTTAAAATTATTGTTTAATAATAGTTTTGCTTAAACATTGAAACCAGAACAAGCAGAATATAAAATAACACAATTTTAAATAATGTCTCTATAGTCGATCTGTAGCCGGCGTCACAGCTCTAATACAGATTTGATATGATCACACTGGCCAAATATAATTGTATCGTTGGCCAAATTTGGCTTTATGTTGACAGTACAAAATCATTTGTTGTTTTTTGCACTGCTCCTTCACTTACTTTTCACTTAGTTTTTCTCATTCTTTGTGCCTGTATTAATTATTTTTTTTTATGTTTGAGTATTAACTTTAACCAAATCATTCCATCCAGGCATTAACGACTTTTTACTTGAGTAGTTTCCCTAAATACTTTTATACTCTTACAGTCTCATACACAAACACACTTTTACTCACCGGCTTTTAACACGACGTGAGAATTCTGTGCTCCTGACTGATTTTTATGGATTTTATTTGCTATTTTTCTATTTGCTGATTTAAGTATTTTTATGTTTTTTTATTGACTTGCTTATTTATTTATTTTATGCTTTATTTAATTGATGTGTTCATTTATATTGTGTTACTCTGTGCAGCACTTTGCAGACTTTGTGTTTGTAAAATGTGCTGTACCAGAGGATCTCCAGCCTTTTTCTTCTGGTGACCTACTTCTACAAAAACAAAATGCCAAAGAGCTTCTTATTTTACCAGTCACAAGAAACTGAGCAGAGGAAAACCTGAGATGGGGAACAGTTCGATACCTATAAAACATAAACTTTTATCCACTTATTAGTGCAAAGTTTAGAGTGACCAGATTTCCAAAATAAAAACTGGGATATCCCCTTTTTGGGTAATAAACTGGAAAATTGTTCTGTAGAGACCATTCATGATGAACATATAAGTCGGTATAATCACATTTTCTTTGTGTTTGGGTCGTTTTTAAGCAGCTTTTCTGTATTTTATCTAAACAAATTACAATTTATGTGTCTTTTTACTGTTGGCAGGGATCAAATTGGTCAAAAATATGAATACTTTTTACATACATTTCTTGTATAAAACTGGGACAAATCACTGGTTTTGAATAAATCTGCCAGGCAGTGTTGGGAAGGTTACGATTAAAATGTATTCCCCTACAGATTACAGATTACATCCCCCAAAATGTAGTTTGTAATCCATTAAATTTCTTAAAGTGAGTAACGTAATCTGAATACTTTGGATTACTTGATTTGCTGTAGAGAAACAAAGATGAGGAAATCTTCACATAAGACGTTTTGTCTGAAAAAAAAGGAAAAGCCCAGACTTTACTGAACCGTATTAAAAATGGTCACATTTTTCTATAGCACTTTTCCACCTTCAAGGCGCTTTACAACAAAGAACCACTCACCCACCAGTGTACACAGACACTAGGGGCAAGGTGGGTTAAGTGTCTTGCCCAAGGACACAACGGCAGCATTCATCTGTGGGAGCTGGAATCACACCAGCCAACCTGTGGGTCAGTGGATCTGACCACTCAACCTGTGATTTTTTTATTTTTTTTTGTTTTTTATGTTGAGAGCTGGATTTGAACCACCAACCTTCAGATCTCAGTGGGCAAATGCTCTACCAACTGAGCTACTGCTGCCCGTTAGTCTTGGTTTAGTCCTGTTTTAGTCCTGGTTCAGTCCTGGTTTACTTACCGGGGGGGGGGGAAATACCGCTGTGTAATCCATTTATTTCAACAAAGTAACTGTAATCCTATTACCACTCACTGAAACAGTAACTGTAACCGAATACAGTTACTCATAATTTGTACTCTGATTACGTAACTCCAGTACATGTAATCTGTTACTCCCCAACACTGCTGCCAGGGCAGGGGACATATTCTCAAAACTGGGAATATCCTGGGTAAAAAGTTCCAGTAGCAGAGCCATTCAGCACGATATGTATAATTCAGAAATCCTTTGGCGAGCTGCGTTGGAAGGGGGTGGAGAGCTACAGGTTGGAGATCTCTGTGCTATACAAATAAAGTTGGAATAAAATTGGAATTTCTTACACAAATATTTCTCTACTTGTACTTGTCTCTGTGAAAAGTGTCCAGAGTTCTTCCTCACTTCCCTTGTGCGTTCAGAGCGTCTTCATTCTTCACCGTGACGAGTTTCGAAGCACTTCTCATAACCACAGTGGAGTTTCCAAACAGCTCTCAAGACTTATTTTAACCTCAGTGCCTCATTTTATACAACGGGCTCTATTCACACTTATGTCACAAAAGCAGAAGACGTTTGGAAACATGTGAATGATGACTTCCTTTGGGCTCTGATGGCGATAGAAACTCTGAAAGCTGAGAAAATGAAAAAAACAGAGAATTTTTTTTTTTTTTTTCATCTAGGTGTCATTGTATTCTTTCTTTTTTCCTTTTATAAATTTGTGTATTATAATTTGTTTAAATAAAAAAAAAAAAAGCAGGACTAAACCAAGATCAAACCAGGATTAAACCAGGATCAAACCAGGATTAAACCAGGACTAAACCAGGAAACCAGAACTAAACAAGGACTAAACCAGAATTAAACCAGGACTAAACCAGGACTAAACCAGGTCTAAACCAGGATTAAACCAGGACTAAACCAGGATTAAACCAGGAACTAAACCAGGACTCCCAGGACTAAACCAGGACTGAACCAGGACTGAACCAGGACTAAACCAGGACTAAACCAGGACTGAACCAGGACCAAACCGGGACTGAACCAGGCCTAAACCAGGACTACACTGAACCACACCAGGACTGAACCAGGATCAAACCAGGACTAAACCAGGGTTGAAACCAAGACTAAACCAGGAATTTACGTATTATATTTGTCTGCCTCAGATGTCAGTGCAGATTGGCAGATCAACAGTTACGACGAGCTCCCTGTCAGTGAAATCCAAATTTTCGATGAGAGTCCCGTCCCCCGTGGAAAACTTTGTCAGGTTGTGAAGACGCTGCTGCTGAATCCTCGGTTTTACCACATGTCCAGTGTCAGGATCTACACTGGAAATCGCCATGCGAATGTTTCCAAACGTCTTCCGGTGAACGTGAAAAGAGTTTATACATCTGTAACCGGATTTAGCTCAAATATAAAAGAAAAAATGAAACCACATGCACACATTTTCGAATTTCCCAAAACTTTACTGAAATATTCTGTTACAAAGTGTGTACAGACAATCCTTGGCTTGATCAGAATCTCTTTTTTTTTTTTTTTTTTTTTTCCTTTTTTTAAGATCAGATAAGACACAAGTCCAAAAATGAAATCTTATTATTACTTTCTCTACTGAAATATATATTACTTCAGTTCAAAAGCTCCAAGAGTTGAACAGGGAACATTAGCCAAGCTGGAGTCACCATTTGGGGAACATTCACAAACTTAAAAAGTGGAAAAATAATAAATATATTTGGGCCAAAAATAGTTAACTTTTCAAAACGTAACTCACTCTTATAAATAGTCTACAGTAGTTACAATTCTCAATAGAAAAAAACTAAACCTACCAAAGTTTGAAGCTGAAAATCGCAAAAGACAAAATATTTTCTTTACAATAGAAACATTAACCTAATTTTATTAAGTGCTTGTGGTCAAATTTGGAACAGAACTTGACGATGCCTGAAGAAAGACGAGTAGAAAAGTTATGGCTAGCCAGGCTATGCTAATGGCGACATGAAGCTAACGTAGCAACAGTTACGACTGATTTGACTAAAAAATGCCATGATATTCTATTAGAGACAACGGCTAATGCTATGATATCAGCTAAAAGTACACATATTTGGTTTTGATGAACACAATATTGAACTTTTTTAGCAAACAATAAGTAGCCACATCTTGGAAATAAGGCATTAGCTCAGCAACAGATTTAAAGGGACTATATTACACAAAATGGACTCTTGTGAGATTTAAGACGTGTTATAATGTTGTTACCTCCTCAAAAACAAACCTGGAGTTGTGTTTTGTTTCATTCACATGTATTTATAATAATAATACTAATACATAACACTTCTATAGCGCTTTTCATGACACTCAGACGCTTCACATAGAAAATATTAGGGATGGGCATTTGATGAAATTTTATTAATCGATCGTCGGGAGAATTAACGACCAATTTTCGATTAATCTTTCACATTTTTATATAAGTATCATGATTATTATTACTGTTACTAATCTGCATAAATAAACTCAACTTTACAACATATAAACCATCACCATTATCAGCCCGTTTGACATTAGAATGTGTTTCATTCAGTTTTAAACTGACTTAAAACCACACGGCTCATTTGCAGAAACTATGCGGAGGGAAAAAAAAAAACGCTCTTGTGCGCTGATGCGGTTCAGCTTCTGTTGGACTAAAGGACACGACTCAGTGGAATATGAGTGTTCTTTCTGTGACAGAGGGGTGTTCTGCTGAAGGTGAGTCTGTTCTGTGTGTCGTGATGTTTTCAAAGATCGTTTGTGGGCAGGTTTGGCACAGCTCTTTATGTTGCAGTAACTGTGACACTGCGGAAACATGCACCATGATGAAACCAGGACACAGATGAGGATGTAAACACACTCACTGAGCGGTACAGTGATCTCCAAGGAGGAGCCACAGCCAATCCAGTGTTTGTGTCAGACGCAGCTTCATATCTACACACAGAAACCTACATTTGGTTTGTTGATTAGAAATGAACGTAATCGACGAAATTCTTAATGATCAATTATTGATTAGTTGACTAATAATGCCCATCCCTAGAAAATATCTGAGTTAGATTATTATTTATTTGTATATCTGTGATTATTACTGTATTTTCCAGACTACAGCGCGCACTCCTAAGCCTCCAACCCCATCAAAAAACAACTGCGTGCCCCATAATCCAGAGCGCCCTATACACGAACCCACTCAGGTGTCCCAGCACCACCCGCAGCGCATGCAAACACACACAGAGCAGACAGCGACCGCGCAGGCAAAAACACCCACAGACACACTCATCACTCCACGCCGACGAGGAACGGAACAGAGGAATGAACCGAAAAAGCGAGTGCAATGCCACTTCTAGACACAACTGAACAACTGAGTCACTGCGAACACGCCGACAATCCGTTGGTCCCAGACACACCCTCCCTACACGCCACAACTGAACAAAGCCCAGAGTCACCGTGAACGCACCAAACAAACAAAACCACTCACCCATCACACTCATTTCAATAAAGTCCGGTGTGGTTTATGAAAAAAGTTCAAAAATAGACCATTGACTTTATTGTCTTATAATCCAGAGCGCCCTATAGTGCAGAAAACATGGTAGTATTACTTAAAATGCTCTGTTCCTCCTTGTGATGTCATGTAGTGGTCGTTTTGAAGTTACAGTTACAGCTCCTTTTTGACATGAACTTTAACAGGAGAGATGCAGATACAGTCTATGGTAGAAATTCCAGACCTGAAAATCCAGACCTGAAATCATTCGAATGATTCTAATGAAGATGTATGATGTTTAAAAACACAGTGGAGCACTTCCTGTGTTACCACTAGACATCACAAGGTGGAACAGAGTGTTTTCTGTTTGAGAGAAGAACTCAGCCTAAATGTGCAGAGTTTGTGTGTTAAACATGTGAATGAAACAAAACACAACTCCAGGTCTGTTTGTGAGGAAGAAACTACATTACAATACACTGTATATCAGAAAATCTCGTACCAGGCCAAGTTACAGGTCAGGTCTGTAGAGAGGTGACCCAGCTCACTTTTTCAGTGTATTTTTGCTCAATAGAAACATCTGTAACTGGGTAAATGCTACATAATAACGTGTAATCTTATACAGCAGAACATTCCCAGCTAAGCAATAACATCTCCATGGAGACAGGCGGTTAATCCAATTTCTAACTATCACGCCAGCAATAGATACATTATTTGACAGATAGAAGTCATGATTTTTGTTTTTTTTGTGAATTCCCAATGTGTGGCTACTTTGAGATGTCACTGTAAGCAAACTGCTCTCTATCTATTCTCCAAAACTACAATATTGGAGATTTCTTGTTTATACTTCAGTCCTGTTTGAGCACTTCAAGAAAAAAAAAGATCAAAATAAAAACCATAAAAACTATAATCTTGAATGTGACTGTTCCTAAAATAAATAGTATTGCCAACAGTGACTGAATTGTGTCACTGTGAGGAGCTGAAGGGTTCGTAAGGGTTAGTCCTGAGCAGAGGGAGGAGACGGAGGGGGGCAGGGGGCTCTTAAAGTCTCAAAAGGGCAGTCTCCGGGGGGTCTTAAAGGGGAGGTCTTACTCCAGGATGGCTCTGTAGATGCTGGGCTCGATGTAGTCCTCTCTGTATCTGGAGTTGATGACGCGCTGTCTTTTGGAGTTCTCTCTCACTTTGGGTTCAGTGAAGTTCTTGAAGCGCATGTCTGAAGCTACCGACTGGAAGAACAAAAATCTGGTTAATTTCATAAAATGTAATTGCAAAACTGTTTCCTAGAACGTTTTTCTACATAAATAGTTGTTTTTGCATGAACTTCCTGTGCAGGTGTAGTCTTGTGTAACTGCCAACTTCACACACATATTATGCAAAATGTACCTTTTTGAACTTGAATCATGTTATAATGTCATTCCCCAGTCAAAAACAAACCTGGAGTTATAGGTTTCATGTTTCACCAATCCTGTTTAAGAGGTCCTCAGAAATTACTTCAAATTTTCCCTGGATTTTGCTTTCGTTTTTTTCTATAGTTAACCTCTACTACTACTACTACTACTACTACTACTACTACTACTACTACTATATCTAACACAGAAGTAGGAGAGTAACTGGTGCAAAATAACACAGGTTTTCTATGCATTTTTTTTGACAGTTCTGAAGATTATGGTTAAAAGGTCAATAATAGAATCAAAAATGTATTATGTGTCATTTAATTTACACAGGATTCCCATGTTCTCAGAATGAACTAAAAACATAGTAACAAGGAAGGCTGGGTTATACAATGAAATGCTGTGGCCCCTATTCTGAATCTGTATTTCTTCACTTATTATACAATACAAAAGATGTCATCTGAAGCTTCTCTTTCCCCACTGTACGGCTGAGACCTTTACCTCACCACCCATCATGACCACATTCTACAGAGGAACCACTGAAAGCATCCTTTCCAGCTGCACTGACCACAACAGGAGAGCCCTGCAGCGCATAGTGGTCATTGGTGCACCAGTCCCCTCCCTGCAAGACATATACACCACCCGCCTCACCCACAAAGCCATCACAACTGTGAGTGATGCAAGTCTGTTCAGCCTCCTGTCCTTGGGGAGGAGGTACAGGAGCCTCTGTTCCTGCACCACCAGACTCATTAACAGCTTCATCCACCAGGCTGTTAGGATGCTGAACTTTCCCCCCTCTCTAACCACCAGGCTGCCAGGAAGCAGGAATCTGCATCTCCCCAAGAACAGAACTCCCCAAAGAACACTTGGACTCAGACTTCCCCTGACTCCCCCCAAAAAGTGTCTATAGTGCACACAGTTCCTTGCACTATATGCCTTTTACACTTTTGCACTATTTACCATGTATTATTTATTTATTACATATGGGATACTGAGAAACACAATTTAGATTCTCTGCGTGATCTTTGTATGAAGAATTGACAATAAATTTGGAGCTTAACCTTCCTACAGACATGTTCACACATACATGCCTCCATATGTCTCTGTATATAGTGTCTGGAGCTGGGGGCTGTGTAATTACCATGCGGGACTTGACTCGTTTGGGCAGGTCCTCCTCCAGTGTGTAGATATCGTCTGGTTTCGCGCTCACCTGAGATCCGTCCTCAAAAACCACCTGTGCACAGAACATGGCATTACCTCACACAGTCAAGTGGTGAACAGGTCTGTGTTTGTGTGTACAGCAGAGTGTTTGTACTGTGAGAAGTGGTCCCTAAACGGAGGCTCTAGTCTCAAAGTGAGTCATGGAAAGCTCAAATACTGCAGTGTGTGAGGCTCATAGTTTATTAGGTTGACTAAATGACACCTCTATCACTATGTACATTTTCACCCAGAGCGTTCAGCTCCAGTCAAATAAAGCTCACGAGGCTAGCAGTTACAGAAGTGAATCTGCAGTGAGTTCAATATGAGGAATAGGAATTGATTTGATTGAATTGATTTGATTGAACTGATTTGACTGATTGTTGAGCAGGTTAATGTAACCATTTTAAGACCAAAATGCCGAGGCTCACTGCAGCAGTTACAAAGAGAGGGACAGCAATTTCTCAATGTAAAGTCAACTAGAAACAGAATTGACAGAGCCGGAAGCCCCCCATGCTCACTCCCTATTTGGACCGTGGCGGCTATATCTATTTATATATACAGTCTAACGCATGTGGCGGAGGAAGGGCCTAATGCAGTCATTAGTGTGCAAGAGAGCCAGAGAGCCAGCCTATAGTTCCCCTTGAACTAAAATATGTCTCTGTATTTGAAGCATTTTCTCGTTCACTTATCTCTTTAACTTTAGGCTTATGTGTCTCCATCTGTATGAAATAAGAATAAATCACTCAAATTAAAAATGAGCATCATGCCTGGCACCAACAGCAACATGGCGACTTATTAGAACACATCCAGTGAACGTCTATAGAAGATTTGGTTTGAAATGCTTAGGATAATGTGCAGAAGACCATCTCAGCTGACAGGATTAGTTATGTGAATGAAACAACACCAGGTATAATTGGAATGAGATATATAATAAGTTATATCACAGTTAAAAGTTCCAAAAAGAGAAGAGTTGTGTACCAGAAACACAGGGTCTGAATGTGCCGCTATGAACTTGGCGCCGTAGAGGAGTCCGTCTGTCCATCTGACCTGCACGGGTTCTCCTTCAGAGGGGGGGCCCATGTTCACACAGTCTCGATCCTGAAACACAAAACTCACATTTACATTCTACTCCTGCTACATAAAGTGCATGAGAGAGGTTTTTATGTTTTTTTAATTGTCACTTGGTTCTGTGGTGAATACTTATCATAGTTTAACTTCAGTTAAGTGACAGTTGAGAAAAACCACAAAAATACAAAAAGTAGCAGTGAGTATGGAATATATCATCAAATGTATACATAATTTATTTTTATTAGTTGAATCAAAACTTTTCGAATTTAGAGAGGGGGCATTACACTCACTTTTGAAAATACTGTCTTCACTGAACAAAAAAATAAATAAAAGTCACTCCTAGGGCTGGGCGATATGGATCAAAAAATATATCTCGATATATTTTGCTATATCTCGATATACGATATATATCTCGATATATGTTCAAGAAAAAATAACCCCGTAAAACTGAAAACTGCAAAAACAAACCTGCCAATTCCACAAGGTCTTTTTTTTTAATTGAAGTGTAAGAGGTCGGCAGTTCATATAGGAACACTTAAGATTACAAAAAACCCTAATAACATAAATAATAATTTAACTGTAAAATAAAAGAAATAATACATATTTCCTTCTTTTCATTCATAAATAAAACAACTCAACACAAGCTCATCTTTGCATTAACTCTGTTAACCATACCATAACCATGAGCTCATTTAGCAGAAGAAGCTAAGGATGTTCCTTATTTCAATAGATCCATGTTCCTATCCAGCAGTAAGGAGCTCTGAGGTTTCCCACAATCCACTGCAGATGCAAAACCCAACATTTCCAAACACTATTGCTCAAGTGACACTGAAGCAGATTATTAATAAAAATCTTCTGCATAAATAAACTTTACATGACTAAACTTTACAATATATAAAGCATAACGACTATAGAGCCACATCAGCTCGTTTGCGATAATAATGTGTTTAATGCAGTTTTGCGCACGTGTGTTTACATTTTACAGAAACGAAACTTAAGCATATGGCTCATTTACATAAACAGCTCACTTCTCATGCAGCTCAGCTCGTTTAGTTTCTTTCAGGCTAAAGGACGCGACTCGGTGGAATATGAGGATGTGCTGCTGATGGTCTTGTCTGTAAATGGTGGAAAGGGTTCGTGGTGCTTGAAGTTTTTCACTGGCACCAACTTTGGGCATTCACGGCGATAGTGACGTGTGAAGGAGACACGAGCGAACAAAATCAGGGAGGCGGAGGCGACGAGAGAGAAGACAAACAAGCGAAGCAGCGAAATCAGAATTGAATATAAGCATAATATATATATATATATATATTTATATACGATATGTCAGAATTCATATCGAGTTTATATATTTAAAATATCGATATATCGCCCACCCCTAGTCACTCCCCTTGCCATCACAAATCAGTATGCATCTCTCTAATGAAACTACAGCACATGTTTTGGTATATTTAAGAAAAATGGGTGTCGTAGGCTTGTGGGCTGAGCATTGGACAGAATCTTAGACCCTGTTTACACTGAAAAGAATCCGCGTATCACTGTATCGGAAAGGATCTGCATCCAGACACGTCGTTTCTGTATCTGCAATCAAAGCCTTCCCCGTCCACACAGTAACGCAAAACCGCCTGAAACGCTAGTCACATGATAGGCTGGTGTCACGTCGGCCCAAAATCCCGAGGTCACATGAGAGGTAAAAACAAGGAAGTCTGAAGTTGCAGCAAGTGGCAAGTGTAAAAACAGTCTTTTCGTGAACTGACGACGAGGTTCAGTTGTTACTTAGAATAACACTGGATTTTAAGACGAGCATAGCGGCTCAGAGTGAGGATTGACTTGTTTCTGTGTCCGCAAGTCTTCCCTATCCACACAGCTTTGAGCAGATTTGTTTACGGTTAACAGACATGAAAATTAAAACCACATGGCTAATTTGCATAAACTGAGCGCTCAATAAACAGCTCACTATTGTGTGCTGATGCAGTTCAGTTTCTGTTGGACTAAAGAACACGACTCAGTGGAATATTTCTGGGAATTCTGGAATTCTTTCTGTGACAGAGGGGTGTTCTGCTGATGGTGAGTCTGTTCTGTGCTTCTATTGTGTTGGAGATGTATGATCATATGCATAGACTGTTTATATGAATGGACATATATTCTAGCTTCTTAGTGTTTTGGCACTGAAATAGCCTACTTGGCGGTGCACAGACCTACATCAGAGTATCAGTGTTTTCAGGCGTCCACACAGTGCTGGATCAGATCTGTACTCAGATGAATTTGTGGGAGCTGGAGGCACCAGATCGTTCGGATTAGTTTGGACGAACACTGGATCCACAACGAAAACAACTCAAAAATGAACTAGTGTGGACATGGTCTTAGAGCTAATCATAAGGAGGGTTTGAATAGGGCCCGGGAGAGATTGCTAAATTACTCAAACATGCATGGATGACGTCTAAAACCTCAACAAGCATGTTTTTGATGAGAGAATAACATGGTAGGAAGCCCCAAAATGTTTGTATAATTTTTTGTATATCCCCTAATTTAACATTACAGTTGTTAGGCAACAGTTTTGAAATGGCCTCTACATAATGCCATATCTGCTGCCTGCTTCATCCACACAGTAAAATGATAACTTTACCAAAACATAAATAAAACAAAAATATAAAAATAAAAAATAAATATATAAAAATAGGCAAGATATTTTGTAAAATCTTGATATTATTGCTTCATCTGGAGTGTTTCACAGTATTTCATTAAACCTTTCTATCTTCATGGAAACACGTTACAGATCAGATCTGTGGAGAGGCAACCCCACAGCCAGAATTCCTGTTTTTCTAGGTATTTTCTAGGTAAGGTAGAGCTGTTTAATGTCATACTGTGGAACATTACAGGCAGCGCACTGACATATCCATAGAAACAAGCAGGTGACACACCCCCAACAAAAGTTACATAGTGCATCTTTAACTATGTTTTAGTGAAATGAGAGGTCAGAACTGCTATAGGGACTTTAACAAAGACATTTCTGCAGCTGTATGACCATTTTTATCTGTTAATTACTGGTATTAACAGCTAAAAACAAACAAAAACAAAAGTACTGACCACTATGTCTTCAGGGAACAGATTGTCGCTGTAGGAACCATCGTCGAACACGACCTCGTAGAAGGTGGCAGTGGTGAGGGCAGAGACTTCGCTGTGATAGTAGCGGCCATTTTTATGCTTACAGATCACCTTCTGCCCCACCTTCAGGTCCTTCTGCGAGCTCTTGTTACGCTGCGGAGAGAAAATACAAAAAATAAAGACTTAAAGATCATATATTACTCAAAATTGTCTCTTATGAGCTTTAAGTCATGGTATAATGCAGTTTCCGCATCAAAAACAGACATAGAGTTATGTTTTGTTTTCATTCACACATGTTTGATTAATCCTTTATTATTAGTCTGTCTACATCTCCAAAGCTCAAAAGACTCAACAACTAACTTTTAAAATAAGATGATAAAATCCTCTCCCATGGAAGAAATTAGTCTTGGGACAGGGGATCGCATGCTTTAACACGAAGACCAGACAACACAAGAACAAAAGCACCATACAAACATCCACCATAGAACAGAAAGAAGAGACCAAGTATGACCACAGATGTGATGTACAGTGTGGTTTACAATGTGATTTACAGTGCGATGTACAGTGCGCTGCACAGTGTGATTTACAATGTGCTGTACAGTGTGGTGTACAGTGTGATTTACAGTGTGATTTACAGTGCGGTGTACAGTGTGATTTACAATGCTGTGTACAGTGTGATTTACAATGCAGTGTACAGTGTGGTGTACAGTGTGATTTACAGTGTGATTTACAATGTGCTGTACAGTGTGGTGTACAGTGTGATTTACAATGCGGTGTACAGTGTGATTTACAATGTGGTGTACAGTGTGGTGTACAGTGTGGTGTACAGTGTGGTGTACAGTGTGGTGTACAGTGTGATTTACAATGCGGTGTACAGTGTGATTTACAATGTGGTGTACAGTGTGGTGTACAGTGTGCTGTACAGTGCGGTGTACAGTGTGATTTACAATGCGGTGTACAGTGTGGTATACAGTGTGGTGTACAGTGTGGTGTACAGTGTGATTTACAGTGCGGTGTACAGTGTGATTTACAGTGCGGTGTACAGTGTGGTATACAGTGTGGTGTACAGTGTGGTGTACAGTGTGATTTACAGTGTGGTGTACAGTGTGGTGTACAGTGCGGTGTACAGTGTGATTTACAATGCGGTGTACAGTGTGGTATACAGTGTGGTGTACAGTGTGGTGTACAGTGTGATTTACAGTGTGGTGTACAGTGTGGTGTACAGTGTGGTTTACAGTGTGGTGTACAGTGTGATTTACAATGCTGTGTACAGTGTGATTACAATGCAGTGTACAGTGTGGTGTACAGTGTGTATGTACAGTGTGTGTGTTTACAGTGTGCTGTACAGTGTGGTGTACAGTGTGATTTACAATGCGGTGTACAGTGTGATTTACAATGTGGTGTACAGTGTGGGTGTACAGTGTGCTGTACAGTGCGGTGTACAGTGTGGTGTACAGTGTGATTTACAGTGTGGTGCGGTGTACAGTGTTTACAATGTGGTGTACAGTGTGGTGTACAGTGTGCTGTACAGTGCGGTGTACAGTGTGATTTACAATGCGGTGTACAGTGTGGTATACAGTGTGGTGTACAGTGTGGTGTACAGTGTGGTGTACAGTGTGATTTACAGTGCGGTGTACAGTGTGATTTACAGTGCGGTGTACAGTGTGATTTACAGTGCGGTGTACAGTGTGACGGTGTACAGTGTGGTATACAGTGTGGTGTACAGTGTGATTTACAGTGTGGTGTACAGTGCGGTGTACAGTGTGGTGTACAGTGTGGTGTACAGTGCGGTGTACAGTGTGATTTACAATGCGGTGTACAGTGTGGTATACAGTGTGGTGTACAGTGTGGTGTACAGTGTGGTGTACAGTGTGATTTACAGTGCGGTGTACAGTGTGATTTACAATGCGGTGTACAGTGTGGTATACAGTGTGGTGTACAGTGTGATTTACAGTGTGGTGTACAGTGCGGTGTACAGTGTGGTGTACAGTGTGATTTACAATGCGGTGTACAGTGTGGTGTACAGTGTGGTGTACAGTGTGGTACAGTGTACAGTGTGGTACAGTGTTTACAGTGCGGTGTACAATGCGGTGTACAGTGTGGTACAGTGTGGTGTACAGTGTGACAGTGTGGTGTACAGTGTACAGTGTGGTGTACAGTGCGGTGTACAGTGTGGTGTACAGTGTGATTACAGTGTACAGTGTGGTACAGTTTGTGTACAGTGTGGTGTACAGTGTGTGTACAGTGCGGTGTACAGTGTGATTTACAATGTGTACAGTGTGGTACAGTGTGGTGTACAGTGTGGGTACAGTGTGATTTACAGTGCGGTGTACAGTGTGATTTACAATGCGGTGTACAGTGTGGTGTACAGTGTGGTGTACAGTGTGGTGTACAGTGCGGTGTACAGTGTGATTTACAATGCGGTGTACAGTGTGGTATACAGTGTGGTGTACAGTGTGGTGTACAGTGTGATTTACAGTGCGGTGTACAGTGTGATTTACAGTGCGGTGTACAGTGTGATTTACAATGCGGTGTACAGTGTGGTATACAGTGTGGTGTACAGTGTGGTGTACAGTGTGGTGTACAGTGTGGTGTATTTACAGTGTGGTGTACAGTGCGGTGTACAGTGTGGTGCTACAGTGTGGTACAGTGTGGTGTACAGTGTGGTGTACAGTGTGGTGTACAGTGTGATTTACAGTGTGGTGTACAGTGCGGTGTACAGTGTGGTGTACAGTGTGATTTACAGTGTGATTTACAATGCGGTGTACAGTGTGATTTACAGTGTGGTGTACAGTGTGGTGTACAGTGTGCTGTACAGTGCGGTGTACAGTGTGATTTACAATGCGGTGTACAGTGTGGTATACAGTGTGGTGTACAGTGTGGTGTACAGTGTGATTTACAGTGCGGTGTACAGTGTGATTTACAATGCGGTGTACAGTGTGGTGTACAGTGTGGTGTACAGTGTGGTGTACAGTGTGGTGTACAGTGTGATTTACAGTGTGGTGTACAGTGCGTTGTACAGTGTGGTGTACAGTGTGATTTATAGTGCAGTGTACAGTGTGGTGTACAGTGTGTGTGAAGTAAATGTGCTAAAAAATAAAGTCTCAGCCTTTCAGTCCAGGGGCCTCATTTATAAAGCTTGTTTACGCAAAAATCCGTGCGTGCGCGCTTCCTACGCCAACCGCGGTATTTATAAAACTCGACTAAGGCGTGGCTCTTTGGTTAACTCTACGCCAACTCGGGACCTCCTGTAAGTTCTACGCAAAGTCTGGAGACACAGGGAAAAAGCGACACTCGTGGAGAGGAGCAGAAGTGAACAGAGTTTGAGGAAGTGTTTGATCAGAAAATCCACGTATATAGAAGAATTACCTTCAGATTTGCGCATTTAAATGTTTGGTTCACCAAAACACGGAGAAGGGCTGTTTATTCCACTCATTATTCTCCACAATATTATACATTTGAAACTCGTGCACGAGCGCTGCCATGTTCCCGGACCCGGTGTAGCGCAGAGTCTCCCACAGTCCACACCACGACCATAGACTTCTACAAAACACAGACTGTGACCAACACAGAGGACGAAATAATGACCCAACCTGAGAGAAAACTCTTCCCTTGGACGCAGCAGGAGCCAGGCTTTGATTTAATGAACGCAACTTTAACACTTTTACTTTAGTCTTTACGCACCGAGCACCAGAGTGACCCGAGTCTGCGGACAACACGAAGCCTACTGCCCGAACCTGACCCCAACCAAAATCTGCATTACATTTTTGTGTAATGGGGAACTCTTGTACATGAGAGCTGCTCTCTGACTGTATGAAGAACAGAATAATGCCCCCGACCCACACTCACAGACCCAGACCCACACTCACAGGTTCAGCAGTTTGGATGTTTCGTGTGGACTTTAATTGGCAGAATAACATCTGTATCTGATGTGTTTCATGCTAAATCTGTGTCCTCGTATCCTCGTGTCCCTCCCTCGCTCCTTTCCCTTTCCAGGGGAGGGCATCTGAATCTCTCGCACACGCTCATAATTTGACCATTCAGATCAGCGCGTGCACGTATCTACGTGTATATACATATATATATATATATACATTAAATATACAGGGCCAGTCCACACACACATCATAGAAGACTTAAAAATATAGCGATAAAACTCTTGAAACAGCGAAAAAACACATGGACTTTACTGCAAAGATGTGCTGCCTAAATATTATAAAATATGATTAAATGAACAGATGAGTCATTGTTGTCACTTTTAGTTTTGTGTTTATTTATTAAACCTTGTTTAATAAAGTCTTTAATAAAGTCTTCCTCGTCCTCCTCCCTCTGTCCCGCGTGTCTCGGTCAAACCCACTGATTATCGGCTCATGTTTAGGGAAATCTCATTCACCAGTCACTTTACATGCTCCTTTTATGGTGAGGTGGAGGTGTGGAGAGGGCGTGACGTGACATGGGTTTACGTGCGCAAATTGTAGTTGCAGGTAGGATCTATAAAGCAAAGATTGCGTGGTTTGGTGCGTGCGGTGGGTTTTCTAAATGTGGAGTTTGCGTGGCGCACGCCTCTCGTAGCTACTAGGCGTACGCACTAACTTACGACAACTCCTGCGCATTTTTTATAAATGAGGCCCCAGATCTCAAATGTAGTGGAGTAGAAAATACATGTAAGAGAATTTAAGTAATTTATCTTCCACGTACATCTCTCAGTTTAACACTGACACAAAAGCTCTATTTACACCATGATCTTCCCTTGGCATACCATTGGCATACCACTATCTAAATTGTGGCATATTGCTGACTAACTGGTGCCTACTGGCCTTCATAGTCTCACTAAATGCTGACTAACTGGTGCCTACTGGCCTTCATAGTCTGAGCACACTTGCTTTATAAACCTCCTCCTCCGGAAGCATAGTCAAGGGGCTTGAACACTCAAAGATCATATTATGTTCTCTTCTGAAATCATACAATGTTGACTTTTCAAGTCCCCCCCCCGGTTGTATTATTGATGGTAAATAAAACTTCTCCTGCATAAGACGTCCAGTTGGTCTCCAGCCTTTTGCTTCCACCCTTTCTTGGACAAGCTGAAAACTTCAGTACAGACACATGTTCTCAAATGTAGTGAAGTAAAAGTATAAAGTATCCACTGTAAAATCTACTTACATAAAGTACAGATACTTAAAATTTGTTATTCAAGATGCACTATGTAACCTTTTTGGTTACATGGGGGTATCTGTTTGTTGTTGCTCTGCCTGGAACATACCACAATATGACATTAAACATGAATGACTGTGAGTGGGGTCACCTCTCCACAGATCTGACATGTAACTTGGTCTGGTTTGGTCTCCATGAAGGTTTAATTCCATATTGTGAAACATTCTAGGCAAAGCAATAACATCTCCATGGAGAAAAGCATCTGACGAGCCCTCCACCGAAAAAGTTACACTATGCACCTTATATGCATCAAGTATTGTACTTGTATTTTTGTACTTGTTGTCTTTCACCACTGTCCCTGAGTCTGTCTTCTAGGAAATCAAGGTTCTCTGGTTGGGAGCCATCCCTGATGCAATGTGCATGGTGTGCTTGGACTGAGAAGTAGTTAATATTATAGCTTCATGAATTAAAGTAATAATTAATGTTATCAGATCTAAACTTGTACATTGCCTCGATAGTTCACTCACCTGACTGCCTAAACACACAGTTAGCCAAGGTCCTGTTTTCTTTTCTTTTTTTTATTGTCCATGTTAATTGAAAGATCACACAGTTACAGTTGAGGTCATCAACATTCCCTGAGGATGTGACGCTAACTGTAAGCACTGGTCTATCTGAGGCTTGTTAGATTTTAATCTGAGCTTTATTTGACCATAAAGAACTGACTAAATTGGAACCAACTAACTAACTAGCACTAGCCAACAGTTTTTCAGTTAGTCACTCTCACTTCTCACTCTCTTTTTTGTTGAAAATCAAACACCTAGAGACCATGAAGGATTGTATTAATCACAGGCTCCTGAAAATGTGTTGCTTAAATCTATTTTGTACTTTTTCTTACATTTTCAGACAATCTTAAAACGTATTTGGCCGTGCTTGCTAATGTGTGCACTGCGTCTGCATGGTAACTGGGGAATATTCTGCCAATACACATAGCTACACATACAACACCCCCAGCGCGATGTCACTGCAATGTATCAATTGAGAGTACTGATGATGGCAACAGAAAACCTCACTTCAGTTGTGTCACATGTATTATTATGTGGTAATATGTACAGTGGGTGTAATCAAATTAAACTCCAGCCCTGAACAAATATGATCCATCTCCAGCTCTGTATGGACAAAGCCTGACTATGGTTGTTTGTCTTATCTTATCTCTGTTGTGATGTGTGATTAAGGCATGTCCTGTGAAATGTACAACTGTCAAAACTAATTTCACATTATAAAAACTAACTGACACAGGCTTTGCACATCATCTAGGGCTGTTAAAAGTATCGGAAATCGGATTCTAATTGTTACCAAAACTAGATACTGATCTGAACAAGTATCAATGCTAAAAAATATGACCTCAACAACACACTCAGCCTTACACTGATTTCAGTGCCTGACCAGCCAGTCCCTTTCCATTTGATGAGACAATATTTGTTGTGATATAACAGAACTGTGAATATGCTACTTTAACCTTGTAAAATCCCTTGACAAGACATTGGTTCTGTCTTTAAGAACTCAGATTTAAAAGTACTTAATAAGAGTTATTTCTTCATGTAGTCAGCACTGAAACAGAGCAAAGCATCATTGTATATGTCGTTCCCTCTGTTTATCAGAGGCTACAACTGCTGCGCCGTAACTATTAATTTAAGCAAAGAAATGTGTAGTTGGATATATTGTAATGGCCCATGATGTTATTGTTTATTATATATTTTTTTATTCATTTATTATTATTGAAACTTTGACGACACAGTGTCACAATATTTCGATCATTGTCACATCCCTAGTGATAAATGGGCAGGTAAGTGAAACACCAGCACAGACCTGACTTTACTGAGTGTGTCCATTCATGTGTATTATATTATTTACTTTGCTCTTACCTCAGGAGCGGTGGGGGCCCGGTGTCTGTGGCAGGTGATGAAGACGATGAAGGGCCAGTCGTCAGGGTGCATGAGGATGCCCGCGGCCTGGGCACACGTGGGGTGAAATGCCGTGGAGCAGCGCCCGTGGGAGCACTGCACACAGCACCCACGGGTGTCAGAGGTCAGCCTGGTCCGGCAAAGAGCACACTTCTGTAGGGACACAGTGCAGAGTGTGAGCGGCAGGGGCAAAAAAGAATTATACTGTTCATCCTATAACTGACTCTTATGATCTTTAAGCCATGTTATAATGTTGTTCCCTCATCAAAAACAGTCCTGAGTTTTATTCCCACATGTTTGGGTAACCCTGCATTATTAACCTGTTTCATTTTTTCCAAAGCTCAAAATGCTATGTTCCATCATATGATGTCATCAAGTGGACGTTTTCAAGTTAACAGCTACATTTTACCTGTAGCACACAACACCACCATGACTGGTCACCACCCCACACTCTGAGAACCTCAGGGACAGGCCTTCTGATAGTCCTGGTTTAGTCCTAGTTTAGTCCTGGTTTAGTCCTAGTTTAGTCCTAGTTTAGCCCTGGTTTAGTCCTTGTTTAGTCCTTGTTTAGTCCTAGTTTAGTCCTAGTTCAGCCCTGGTTTAGTCCTGGTTTAGTCCTGGTTTAGTCCTGGTTTAGACCTGGTTTAGACCTGGTTTAATCGTAGTTTAGTCCTGGTTTAGCCCTAGTTTAGCCCTGGTTTAGTCCTGGTTTAGCCCTGGTTTAGTCCTGCTTTAGTCCTGGTGTAGCCCTGGTGTAGCCCTGGTTTAGCCCTGGTTTAGACCTGGTTTAGACCTGGTTTATTCGGGCCTCCAACTGGTACCTAAATTAAGGACATCCTGAACGTGTGAGATGTGCCTCTACATTGACTCTGTTTAAATCCAGGCTCAAAACGGTTCTGTTTAGCTGGATATGACTGAAAGATTTTTATTCGCACTCTTCTCTCTTCAGATGATTATTTTTGTTTTCCTCTGTTTGTATTGTAATTATTCTGTAAAACACATTGAATTACTTTGCGTACACATAAACTTGCTTTGCCACTACATTCACCACTCAAAGGCTAAACAAGGGCACACTATTTCTAGAGAAATTCAGCAGCACTGTAAGAGAATGAGTCCACACTTGTATAAAAGTAAGAGGTGTTACAGATAAGTGTAAAAATAAAAAGAGTCAGATGTGAGGCGCTTAATGAAACAGCGTAAGGGGAAGTGTGGATTTCCTCTGTGCTCTGACGTCACATCCACAAATAGTGAAGGCCTCCGCTGGGAACCAGTGAACAGCAGCGTTTCCCATGGATTTTGTTAAAGGTGCACTGTGTAACTTTTTGGTACGGGTTCTATCACCTGCTTGTTTCTATGGAGATGTCATTGCTCTGCTTGGAATGTTCCACAGTGTGACATTAAACAGCTCTACTTTAAACTTATTCAATTACAGGTGGTTTTATAGCTCAAAAATGCATAGAGAAACAGGCACTCTGACTGTGAGCGGGGTCGCCTCTCCACAGATCTGACCTGTAACTTGGTTTGGTCTTCATGAAGACAGAAAGATTTAATGCCATACCTTGAAACATTCCAGACAAAGCAATCACATCTCCACCAGAAAAGTTACACAATGCACTTTTAAGTGGCCCAAATTATTTTTTATTTGAAGTGCATTTCATCTCATTCAATTTGTGGAATTTTAAGCAGGTATTTTTAACCACTGATGTCTTTTATTATAAGTTTATGATAAAACAAGTTTAATTTTGTTATGGCAATATAATAGTCCTGTTTATTTTTGACTATGGGAACTATGGGATGATGTCACTCTCTTATGCAACTGGCACCTTCACAGCTCATTTTCAGCTTTGTTTTTCATCAAACAAAACACAACTGTCTGTCAAGTAATCCTCAAGGTGGATAGAGTGCCAACATGGACACTTCCTATGTGAAAACAGGCCTAGCGGGTTAGCTATGCCCACTTATATATGGGTCCGGTCAAGTGGTAACGGAGGGAAACAGATTTTTGACATTCAAATGTCTCTTATTCAGAAACTAGAGGGACTATTGAAATAAGTAAAGTATCAGAATGTAGGAAAGAGTTACACTCCAACAGGGTCAAGTTAAACCTGTGATATTCTTTCAAGTTGTTGACAAAAAAGTTAAAAACTCATGTCGGTAATGGAGGAAATGAAATATGCAGCACTTTTTGGGCAATAAATCTAAACAGTGATAACTCTTGGTTCTCACTTCCATATCCTTAACAAACTGGTTTGAATATTTGCTTCATATAGTTTTCTACCATATGGTACAAGATTAGGTTGAAAAACCTCTTACTTTTTGACTCATGAGATTTTTTATTAAGAAAGGTCATGGTAACAGAGGGAAAAGTAACGGAGGGAAAATTGTGCAAACAAGTAGAAGGTGCAGGATTTTACATCATTTGTCAACTTTTTTTCTTCTGAATACTTTAATATTACTTCAAAATGAAAGGAAACTATTTCTATAAAATATGTCAGTCCTTCCAAGCTAATTTTTATCATTTTAAATAATTGATTTAAAAAAAAAAAATCATGTACCTTCATTAACAGTTCAAAGATGGAATAACACAAGATATGATGAAATACATCCATTTATTTACATGATGATGTTTTCATACATGGTCTGTTTAAAACATATGTAACTTTAGAACCAAAAATGGTACAGAAAAAAGGTCAACAGTTTCATAAACTAGAGTACATATGCTATCTGTTGAATACATTTTTATATCAGATGCATTAACTTGAATTTTTGGCCTTGCTGTTTACTTCTGCTTGACTGGGCCCATATACAATAACTATGAGCATAACAGTATTACCAGTAGATTACCAGTATCACTAACTGCTAGTTTCTACAAACACTAGCTCAGTTTAGCCTAGCTCCTCACATCAACCTTGTACACTTTGTCACACCTCCACCTGAAAAGTGGCACAGTGCACCTGTAAAGCGACGCCACATGTAGATATTTTAAACATGTCCACTGTTTTTAACGGGCTGTTTCGCCTTGGATCTGGAAGTGATGTCACATTTAACAGCCCTATTTTAGACCCTTAATGGGAAACAGTGGAACAATGACATAGGGGTTAGTATCGTGGCAGATAGCTCCAGCAGAATGTCAACTGTGACTCATGACCACACACTGAAAACACACTGAAAACACACTGGAAACACACTGGAAACACACTGGAAACACAGTCAAATACTGAAAACGCTGTACACAGGGTAATACTGAGGGAGGACAGGGAAGGAAGCGTTTGTTTTTTGTCTTGAATTTAGTCACTTCTGTAGAATAGAGAGGAGGAAGTCTGCACAACAAATGTTATTCACTTCAGTTTTTATTTTTATTACCCTTATGCTGATTGTATTCGCTTTGAATTTTATGTAAAGGAGCATAGTGACAGATTTGACTTCCCATTTCACTAAACAAAGTAAAAGGTGCACTGTGTAACTTTTATGGCGGAGGCTCCATCAAGTGCTTTTCTCCGTACAGATGTTATTGCTTTATCTGGAACGTTTCACAGTATGGCATTAAACCTTTCTAACTCCACAGAGACCAAACCAGACCAAGTTACGGGTCAGGTCTGTGAAGAGACGACCCCGCTCACAGTCAGAATGTCTGTTTTTCTAGGTATTTTTGAGCTCAGATTAAAGTCTAATTTGAATAACAGAGCTTCTAACAAAGATATAGTTAGCACCACACCCCCAGGAAATGTTGACGACATCAGATGCAAAGTATCAATATGAATGGAAAATATGTATGCTAATGGCGGGACTTTCCAATCAAGGCAGGGCAGGGGTAAAATAGATGCTAGACAAAAAAAACTCCATGAACTTAAGCCTCATTATCAGTATCATTAGTGTTTCT